TTATCAATTGCTCCAAAGTCCGCTATCCGAGGCTGATTCTTTATGTTGAGAGCAACAAGAGCAGATAGAAGACCTTCTTAATGTGCTAGAAGATGGGTAAAAGACTAAGAATATTGTCCTGAAAACCTTTGGAGAGTTCAAGTTGTTTCTTGTTGAATGGACTAGGTTCATGAGGCTTGTCTTCTCTTGTTTTTGTGTTTGCTTAATTTTTCTAATTACCTTTGACTTTGATGGGTTTCCAATCTGTAGGCTTTTCATAAAATTTTCAAAGCTTCTTTTTTAGATGACTATCTTTCTTGCAATATTTACGCCTTGGTATGATGTGGGACTTTTTCATCCAGCAGTACTGTAGCGGCTATGGTATTGTGGACGTTGTTACTGTAGTTGTTACAATAACCACGGCCTTTTTAGCTTCCCCCTCCTTTTCACTCCTTTCCATAAAGAGTCTCCTTATTCATTGTCTACCTTATCTACCGCCTTTCACTTCTATCATATTTTAAATCCCTTCTTTTTTCATCCCACCCCCTCTTTAATTCTTGCCTAGTCTATCTCATAATATCTCCTATTTATAGGTGTTATTTTTTGAAAACCAAACAGTTTTTGAATGAGTGGAGAATTATGAGTTCTGTCTTTAAGGCATTCTCCCCCTCCGGGGGTTGTACCCGATGACGAGAATGTGGTCCAGTTGTAACTTGTCTCGAGTGGTGATCGTCTCCAAGGGTCTGGGTTGTGCTTCGGCCGACGAGACAACAATTTCCAGGCCTTTGATCCGTTGTCCAGCCATCGTCCACCACTTCCACTGCTGCCTACCTCCCTGCTCCCCAAAACTTGTTTTATGCTCCCTGTTTTTCTTCTATCGCCGCCCCTAAGTCTGTGTCAAGCTGCTGTCATCACCCTCACAGCAACCCGCAGACTGTTGTACCCTCATTCCAGCCTCTTGTTGCGCCTTTCTCTTCCAAAAAAAATCCCTCAATTTGTTGCCCAGCCTCCGTCCACCACTTTAACCGCCACTTTAGGGTATTTTTCGTGTTTGTATTGTTGTTATTATCCTATTATCAAGAGTCGGTGTTTCTAGTCCTTTTGAATTTCATTAATAAAATAATCATTTTCTATTATGGTTTGAGTTTTTTCTCCTGTATTCGGATCTGTTCATTTTGTTATTTGTTGTTCTGTGATAAATTATGAGTGTATAAAATCAAGTTGCTGACATTTGATGTATTGGGATTTCCTCCCATCACGAGTTTCTTCTTGTCCCCTTCGCTTCGTGCTTTAGCAAAAGTTTTACAAATTGAGGGAAAAGATTTGGTTCACATGATTTTTCCTCTAATTTCATCTAGTTTCTTGTTGAATTTCATAAGGAATTTGATTACTTTTATTATGTTCAACAATAGTTTTGTAAAGAGGAAAGTCTTGTGAGCACCTTCATGCATATGTTTCATACATTATCTAGTTAGAGTCAATATTTGGAGAGTGGTAAAGTATTGAGTAACATTCAACTCACTCTGTTACATATCATGTAATTTAGTTTCAATATCAAACAAGTTAGAGGTGTTGTCAACACTTGATAGACTTCCCTTGCAGTGTCCTAGATCTTTTTTGTACGGGATAATTTTTTTCTATTTTTTCGCGGTACATAGAGTTGACAAGCCATGATATGACTATGTGAACTTCAATCTTCCATTTCTGATGTTTAGGATTAGTAATTTCTAGTATAGGATTTTTCCTGGGAGATGATCACCTTTTGCTTTATCAATGATGTACGTGAACACAGTTAAGACCACTGGAGGATATTGCTGTCATATAGTTTGTGATTGGTGATACAGGAAAAGAATTAAGATGTTGCAGAACCGAACATTCTTGTTTCACCTTCGGACTTAATTTCTAAAAAGAAAGAAGTAGCTTTCCTACCATATTTGGTCATCACGAGGATTTCAGTTGGAGATAGAATTTTCTGTATAGAATTTCTACTAGAAAAATAAATTTTCTATTGCTGACAAGGGATTTTCATTTGAGAGAAAAATTGTATCACCGAACAAAGGATTATCGCTTGAGAAAGAGAGCGCCGAGGTCTATGGGATTTTCAGTAAATAGAGAAAATTCTCGGGATTCCCGATTCCCTTTGATAGGGAAGGGTGCAGGTCTGGTTCATAGGCTGGGATGAAGTCACTGCCGCTGTTGCCTGGACCGAAATGTTCTCTTCTTGAGGAGATTTCGGTTGTCTGCGAGGGCAAAGCAGAGAAGATTTCAGCCTGGAGGAGAATGCAGAGGAGATTTTGGGACGCCACCTCTGCTGGCTAGGAGAGTTTGATTGCAATATAGGAGGTCTGCAGGCTGTCTGGAGGAATTTTGGCAGTTGCATGGAAGATTCCAGCTGCTTGACAGTTGTTGGAGAGGCTCCGGTGGCTGAAGAGCTATGGTTTGTTAACTTGCTCTGATACTATGTTGAATTTGGCATGAGTTTTCTTAGAGGAGGCTCCGGTGGCTGAAGAGCTATGGTTTGTTAACTTCCTCTGATACTATGTTGAATTTGGCACGAGTTTTCTTAGAGGAAAAAGATCATCATGAGAAGAAGGAAAGAAATAAAAAAATGCAATAATGTATAGTTAAGCGAGAATAATTTCGCTCCCTCAAATGTAGGAAAAAAATTCAAATCATCATGAGAAGAAGGAAAGAAATAAAAAAATGCAATAATGTATAGTTAAGCGAGAATAATTTCGCTCCCTCAAATGTAGGAAAAAAATTCAAATCATCATGAGAAGAAGGGAAGAAATAAAAAATGCAATAATGTATAGTTAAGCGAGAATAATTTTGCTACCTCAAATGTAGGAGCGAAGCCACAATTTCCTAAATTTTGGGTGGGCCCATGCGGTCCACAATTTTATGCATATCAACAGTAAGTATTGAAGTTGAAGCAAAAGTCACATCTAATAATGTTGGAGTCCACAAACTCATTTTATTTTCATGATAATTAAGAATTTATTACAAAATTTAAGGAATTTCTACATCTTTTGAGAATCTGTATCATGCATTATTAAGAGCATTTAAAATATATTTCATGATATGTATATATGCAACTCCAATCAATGTTTTAGTCACACCAAATGCATTCTAAACTTCATAATGTTGGAACATCTTGCACAAGAAATTAGTTATCATATAAGTATTTCTGATAGTAAGTGGCTCATAATTAGAATACTGAATCGAATATTCATTGATCATTATGTCTGTCTCAAGATTACGCCAATGAGCATCCCTTGTATCTAAGTTAGACCAATTTGTAGCAACACTAGCCTCTGTAGATTTGTCCATCTTATGCTTGTCATCTTTCCTCTTTAGAGTATGAAAATATCTTTTAATGCGCCTGCTCTGTTTTATTAGAAGCAAGTCATATATCTGTACCTGACACGAGACTTATTTCGATTATTATTAGAGGCAAATCCCTTCTCAAAAAGGTCTCTCCCGAACCCATAATCTTTCAGGTGATTTTTTGGTATTTTGAAAAAGTTTATTTTTGATTGTTATCTTCTCATGCAACATGGTGTCAAAAAAATGCTCACTGAGTTAAAGGGCAAAATAATCCAAAACTTGTTCTTCATCATTATCAGTCATATTAATATTTCTCAAATCTCGAGAAATAGAGTTAAACTCATCAATATGAGATTTAGTGGGCATGCCTTCTTGCATTCAAAGTTGATACATTCCTTTTTTTATACAGTAGTTGTTGGAGAGGTTTTTTATTTTGTATAATGACTCTAGCTTGAGCCAAATTCTCTCAACGGTATTTTCTCCAAGACCTTTGCCAAGATGTCCCTTAAACATGGCTGTATCGTTAAGTGATCCATTTAGTACAGAACATAGAAAATCTAATTAATCATCCAGCCAATATATAAATTCCTAAAATATAAATAAAATAAATATTTACATAATGTCACGTCCAAATATAAAATGAAAATTAAAGCATAAAATCTTTACGGGGCATCATCGTTTTCCTCTTCCTCCTCTTACACAACACTAAAAGGTCGCTTGCCACGAACTACAACTTCTTTTTCAAGTTTTTGGTGGACTATAACACCGTGTTTTTTTATTTTTTATTTTTTTATGCAAAAGCCCAAACTTTTTGAGAATTTAATTTCTTGATCTTAAACTTTGTGGTTTTCATATTTATCATATGATTTGACACCAATTGAAAAAGACCCAACTTTTTGTGGAAGTACCAAAAGAAGTGAAGAGAGTAAGCTTTACAAAAGAGACCGAGATCAGTGTTATTTGGTTGAAGTTTTAGCCTATGTTTACAAGAGATTAGAAAATCTGCTTCACTATACAGAACTCACATGGATGCACAAATAATTTGAGGCTCTAGCAAACACTCTTACTCAAATCCAATTACACAATCTCAGCCAAAAAGAGAAGTATCAATTCTTTCAACACAGTATGAGAAAAAATAACTATAAGAGGGATGATAAATAAATGAAAACTAAATAGATGCTAAAAAGTATCCACTTCACTGTTTCTCAAAAGGGTACTTTCCCACATCTCTACAGATTTTATGCAAAATTTTTGACACAACCGTGCTTTTGAGATGTCAAAATGATAATTCTGTCATTGGAATTAGTTTTCTTCCTTGAACTGTCTTCATTTTTTTTTTGCCTTATTTCTCTTCTTTTCATAAAATAATTTTCCTCGGTGTTTCAACTCTGTGTCTCCCATCTCCCAACTCTTTGCTTCTCAACTTTTTTCATGAAAACACCAAAATAAAACCCCAAAACCTGCATAGAAATTTCTCAGATCCTTTGTACCACATTGGATTAATATGATATAAATTTGATGCGTATTTGTACGAAAATCTTCATATAGAAACAAATGACACCATTATAATTCCTCTTGATGTTGCATTGTAGCCAAAGATGTGGAAATCAAGTAAATTTTGCTTTAAAAAAGTAGGTAAAATAAATATTTTATACTGTTAAAAATCAACTTTTTAATTTGTGCTGAATTTGCAGGTATTCTGGCGTGTGGTTGATTACCAGGTGCGGCTCTTTAATGAAATTTGGTTATGATATTCATGACTGGAATCTGTGTGTTATCGTCCTCTTTGCTTATGGTTTGGCTTCCCGCTTCATTGCCTTCATTTGCATGGTTTCTTTCCTCAAGAAATGATACCATGAAGATGCCTCCTCTCTATTTCATTTACACAACAAAAATGAATCTATATGAGCAGCAAATGTGCTTTCATAAAGAACATCTAAATCACATTAAAGTCTATGCATGAAAAAAAGTATATATTTTTTTTATTTTTAAAAAGTTAATAATAATAATAATATTTTTGATGTGATGAGAACTACATATAAAGATTTAGGTGCTAGATTTGTAAATGGATAGCAATCACCATA